AAGTGTGACTAAAGTATATTTTTAAGCATATTTCAAAGAGAGGTCAGTGTGTGACTGACTTTGTTTATACTTGTTTTAGTTTTTTCCTTTTGTTTCTGCCTGTGTCAAATCTTGAAATCTTCCTGAAGATACATTTGAATGCAAGTTAAGTGTGCCAGTTTTAGTTCTTTTTTCTTTTTTTAAAAACTTTATTTTATTTATTTTTTTATGTGGTGCTGAGGATCGAACCCAGTGCCTCAACCGTTCTAGGCAAGTGCTCCACCACTGAGCTACAGCCCCAGCCCCAGTTTTAGTTCTTTTATCGTGGCTGTTTTTKCCTAAAGAACTAAGAAGCAAACTTTTTTTTTTTTTTTTTAATTCTTTCTCTTTCATATATTCTCTTTTTAACTTATGTTTTGTATACCTATATATTCTACAAGAGAACATAAAACTGGTAGATATCTACTCTTCAGTCATTTATTTTCAAATGACAGTGTGTATGTCTCACTGAAAATCAGTGCTCTTACAAATCTTATATGAATCTTTTGTGAACATGAATTGAAAGAGCAGCATCTTTAAATCTTTATTCTGGGTTCAATTTTAGTGAAATTAGCTTTTCAAAAATTTGAGGCAATTGTATAAATGTACCATGTATTAGATAATAAGGCATTAAGTGGATGAATGTATGGGCATTTGTAGAATTTCACAGATAATTTCTCTTTGTATAAAACAAGGCTTTTAAAACTAGATTTTCCTGGACCATTGTGATTTTTTTTTAAATGGTGAACTAGTTTTGCTTACCTTTAAGTTGGAAAAATTCAATATTAGATATTAAATATTTGGAGCCAATCAAGGTAAGGGAATTCATATTTACTTAGTGGAAAACCTGTTTTGCTCAGGAGTTCATATTTTAACATAATAGGACTTGGTCAACCTTCTTAATTCTTTATTTCAAAATAATTGTGTAAAGGCTAAGGTAAAAGAATAATAGATTTTTCTGGGTTATTATTAGTATTTAGTTCTTTTGACACTAAATTGGGATTTTAAAATGTCATGTCTCTAATCAGATTAAGATATGAAACTCTTATAGAAGAGTCCTCTATAATAAGAATTCAGTGTAACAACTTTCAGGTTAATGTTTTAGAGTGAGAGGAGGCAGGAGTTAAGTAGTAATTTTTATGGAAGACTTGAGGCTTTATACAGAATAGATTATTTACAAAGTAGTAATAAAATATATCTTGTTATTATACTTAATTTAGAAATTCAAGTTCATGTATTTTCCAGTGGATAATTTGTAGATTTGTAGTTTGCAGGCAGATTAATTTTTGTGATCCCCTTAGTGTTTATATCTTCATTGCTTTTATAAAAAGAATTTGTGTAAGAACTTTAACAGTCTTTCAACTTCTGTTTTCTAAGCATTACTTGTTTTCTTTTTTTTTTTTAAAGAGAGAGAGAATTTTTTTTTTAATATTTATTTTTTAGTTTTCTGCGGACACAACATCTTTGTTTGTATGTGGTGCTGAGGATCGAACCTGGGCCGCATGCATGCCAGGTGAACGTGCTACCGATTGAGCCACATCCCTAGCCCCCACATTACTTGTTTTCTTGATTAAAAAAGAAAGTGGGCTGGAATTGTGGCTCACTGGTAGAATGCTTGCCTAGCATGTGTGGGGTACTGGGTTCGATTCTCAGCACCACATATAAGTAAGTAAATAAAGATCAATCAACAACTAAAAAAAATATAGTTCTAATAACCAAAGAAATTATGTTCCATATAATTGTATAAATTATGTTGCTAGGGACCATCCTGTAGTCTTCTTTTTTTATTGTTTTCTACATCTGATCTATCAGGTAGTCTTGTCTATTCTACTTCCAGAATTTATCTGCATGCTTTTTTTTAAATCTGCTGCTATTACCCAACTGAAATCATCATCGTCTTTGCTGGATAGCCAAAATAGCTTATAACTAATCTTGTTTCCACTCTTAACTCTGCTAGACTTAGTTTTCTACACAGATTAAAAGTATAATTTTTTATTTTAATTATTTTTTGTAGAGGGGATTGAACCCAGGGGCACTTAACCACTGAGCCACACCCCAAGCCCTTTAGCACCTTGCTAAATTACTAAGGTTGACTTTGAACAGCCACTGGGATTACAGGTGTGTGCCACCGTGCCCAGCCACACAAAGTATAATCTTTTAAAAACATAATTCAGGGGGCTAGGGATGTGGCTCAAGCGGTAGCGCGCTCGCCTGGCATGCGTGTGGCCCGGGTTTGATCCTCAGCACCACATACAAACAAAGATGTTGTGTCCCTTGAGAACTAAAAAATAAATATTAAAAAATTTCCCTC